TATATATATAACTAATCTAAAAAATTAGGGGCTGGGAAGGCGGCTCAGTGGTAGAGCACTTGCCTTGCAAGCATGAGGCCCTGGGTTCCATTCCTCAGCACCACATAAGCAAAAAGAAAAAAAGCCAGAAGCGGCGCTGTGGCTCAAGTAGTAGAGCACTAGCCTTGAGCTGAAGAGCTGAGGGACAGTGTCTAGGCCCAGAGTTCAGGCTCAACGACCAGACCCCCCCCAAAAAAATTAAGTAGTATAGAAGAGTACAGACCACTTAAAATAATCCCTTCAACCTTAGTGACTTTTTCTGAACCTAAATTTCTTCAAAATGCTGAGTTGTAATATTATTTTGCAAACACTGTAAAATAGTCATTTGAGAAGTATATTTTGATGCTTTTAAATATTAAGCCCCTTTTTTCTCAAGGCTAGTGTTTTGTCACTTGAACCACAACTCTAGGTCTGGTTTTTTGATGGTTAATTGGGAGATAAGAATCTCAAGGACTTTCCTGCCAAAGCTGGCTTCAAATCACAATCCTCAAATTTCAGTCCCCTGAATAGCCAGGATTTACAGGCCTGAGCCACCAGCACCCAGTACAATAAATCTTTTCATGTTAGTATGCATAAGCTTTATTATAAATACCCAAATTCAGAGAACCTTAACTAGACATTTAAACTCACAGCATCACTTAGCTATGGCATAGAACAAGATCATACTAACAGCAAAATCCATAAATGGCTCATAAGCTTTCTCTAAATAGGTGGGAAGTCTTTCTAATTTTGCTTACTTAAAAAAAAAACGGTAACTTGACTTTTGCCTCGTTAGCGGCATCTTTTAAGGTGGCTAGACATGTGGATGGCTGTTGAAGTTTCTATGGTTTGTAAGTGGAAAGATTTCTGCATCCTGACTCGAACGTCCCAAGTTCATGACTCTTTTCCTCAAACATCTTCCTCTACCAGCCTCACTGTTTCACTCCTGGACCAGATCTATGAGGTTCAAGAGGCTGTTCTTCTCTACAATTCTTTTTACCAAAAACAAAAATGTAGATCTAATGTCCTACAAGTCATCAGAAATTACATAAATATGGTCATGCCAAAATATTCCTTTTAAAACATCTGTTCTAACAACAACCAATTAAAGTGATGACAGAGTCTATGAAAAGCGAAACAGATGACCATGCTGGTGCTGTTTCTAATGCCTTATGCAATAAATCGCACAGGAATAAGTTATCCAGCCTGTTCTGGCTTCAGCCTCTAGGTTATGAAGTCAATGCTTTAAAAAGTAGCATAACTCAGAGTGCAACTGGCCAAAAACATTAAGCTGTTCTGCATTGATGGAGACAGAATAAAAGCCTTGAGAAAAAATGAAAAGGAGACCCTTTGCTGAGGAGTTCCATTTGTCCAGTACAGAGATCAATTAAAACCTCTGAATGACCCTAGATCCTTTAAAACTGCAATGTTTCAAACGTTGTTCAATTGATATGTTTTCAATTAAATGAGCTGTTAAAGTGGAGAACAAAATTGAAACTGTAATGAGACCAAGGTCTCAGATAAATAAATAAATACTAGAGATTGAGAGGGGAGCCTTCACCAAGACTGAAAATGTCATGAGAAGCAGCAGCCTCTCCTATCCCTTCTCTTTGTTCTACTGGTCAACAGAAGCCCACACACTATGCAGGTTTAAGGGCATTTACACAGTACAGACTTGTCTCAAGGGATGTGGAGGAAGGAATAACAAGGCATGTCTCAAATACCATTCCATAAGGTTGTCACCACAACTACATGACTAGCACACCGGAGAATCTGCAAAGTTAAACTATACAACAAGCACTAAATGATGTGATATAATTAATTATGAACGCTGATGATGGTGATGATGATGATGATGACTTCATGTACAGAAGTCTTAGGTTTCACTACACTGGCTTTTTTGTTCTTCTGCTTAGTTAATTCTCAGTAACGTTCTCATGAATCAAGGATTTAAACAATAAGATTTGCCAGGAGGAATTAGCTATATCATGACTATGTTCTCATGCCAGTGACACAAAGTCTCGTTATCTCATAAAGACTTTTTTAGAACTCTAATGGAAAACAAGTATTTTTTAACTGCCTGTCCTGTGTACTGTGATGGGTGCTGTCAGGATGTTTAAGGTCTGGTTCCTGTCTAAAAGAGTTCATAATTAATTGCAGAACAGGAATGAGCACTTGAAAAGTCAAATGGAAATAACTTAAATTTCACACGTGGTAACCAATGGCTATACACATTAGCAGTATACAAAGACAGCTCTGGCTGGCACTCACATCCTGAAGTGAACATGTATCCATTCTAGCATGGAAAGAGCAGAAAGAAAGTGCACAAATTTGCAGCCAAGTAGGTAACAAAGTGAAAGGATGGGTTTGGGACAAGAACATGTGCATGTATGAGCCAATTTCACAGAGAAGCAGTGGGAGACAGCTCTAGACACACAGCCCTGTATAATCTTCACCTTAAAAAGGGGAGCCAGCAAAGATTGCAGAAGAGCCTGTTGTGATTAAAGTAGTCAAGACATAGCAAACAAGCCATGATATACAAGGTAAAGAAGACTCATTAGGAGCAATTAGAGTAAGTTCTATCTGACATAAAAGGACCTCAAGTTCAGTGATTACACAAAAAGAGAAAATAGCTGGCACTGGTGGCGCAGGCCTGTAATCCTAGCTACTTAGGAGGCTGAGATCTGAGGATCATGGTCCAAAGCCAACAGGGGCAGGAAAGTCCATGAGACTCTTATCTCCAATTAACCACCAGAACACCAGAAGCGGCCCTATGGCTCAAGTGGTAGAGAGCTAGCCTTCAGTTGAAGAGCTCAGGGACAGCACCCAGCTCCATAACCCCCCCCCAAAAAAGACAGAAAATATAAGTCATATTGATCTGACCTGTGGAGGTACCCAGCATTTCATTAGGAGGTAAGGAAAGCACTAAAAGAAGGCTCAGCAGAGCAAGTGCTCTATCAATGTTTACCAATAAAGTTGTTTTCATTATTATCAAGATGTGGAAAAATAGCCTTGGTACAGTAAGAAACAAGAGACCAAGAAGAGGGACAAGTCCCAGCATCTTGAGCCAGTGGCTATCTGGAACATGATGGGAAAGAGAAACTCAGCCAAGGAAGTGCTAAGAATGACAGGCTTTCAGGCAGAGATAACTGGCCTCCAGCTTGATGCAGGCCTAGAGGGCCATGTCAGAGATAGTTGCTAGTGTGAGGGAACTGGTAAGATCCTGAAAGAGAAAGCATAAGGTAGACCCTTGACCAGCAGAGATGAACCTGTTCACAAATGTCTGACTCCATCCAGAGATATAGCTTCCACATTATGACCCCCTTTCCCATGCACCCCTGTAAATAAATGACTCTGAGCCCTCTGGCACCTGGAGTCTCCATGTCAGACAGCAACTCCTGTTGTTATATTGGTGTCCAATTATAATTATGTCTACAGAGGATCCCCTGCTAATGAAACCTGAAAACAAGTGCTTTAGGGAGTTCCTTCCCAGACACACAAGTGCGAAACTCACCTCACAGATGCCTGCTAGCCAGAGCAAAGGAAAACAAGTACCTGAAAACACAGAGGCCACAGCTGCAGAAATGTTCAATTCAATAGTGTTAAAGCTGAAACAATAACCTTCCAATGACCTTGTATTCAGCCTTAAGAAGCTGAGAAGCAGAACCATTTGGAAAAGGGCAAGTAAAGCTGTTTGACTTTCCTCATGAGATAAGAGTGGAGCAGCTCAGAGAAGACTGTAGCCTAGATGAAAGGAGCTCAGCTCACCTCTTTCAGCAAAGCACCGTGGCTCCTGATGCACAGCCCAGAGAGGCAGCCTCTATCCTCTGACCTCTGATGACAGTGGATATCCTGAGCCTTCTGCTGGGCTATGCCTATGTATAGGAGAGCTGACATAATGGCAGTGGAGGACAAACAGTGCCCACTGACCTATAGCTCAGCTCTCCCCACCCCTCACTGGCAGAGGTAAACTGCAGAACTTTGCTGCCACTCTTCTGGGTCAAACTTTCCCTCCAAAATCCTCACAGAAATCACAATTTCTTGCTGTTTTCTAGAACTGCCAGGAAATGGTGTAATATTTATTGTCTGTATGCTTGACCTACTGGCATCCCATAAACAAATTCAAGAACATTCAATATTCAGAACACCTTGCCAAACTATATCCTATAATCAGGTAGCACTCAGCCTTCATTTCTACAGCAATGTCCCAGAAAGTGTTAAGCTTCAGAACATAATTCAAATATAGATAATAAAAACTGGTACTACAGACATCTGGTATCTTAAAAATATAAACACATGGACAAACATATGTTGTTCTGTTCAAAAGTTGTTACAAGACCCAAACACAGACATTTATAACACCTTCAGGAAGTCATGCCAAAAGCAATGTTTCCTGCTTTCTTATGAAAAGAGAATTAGCAACCACAGACTAAATTTAAATTTATTAACTAAACGTGTGTGCAGATGCATCTTTGTACCTATAAGCATGTCCTATCTGGGATATACAACCCATTGTTTACCTTCTGTGTACCTGATGAGGCCCTTCTGCAGATCAATGATATGCCAGGTGCTGAAGATGTGTCTGTAAAAAGACAGCCTGAGGCAGAAGCCCTGGGACAGAAGATAGATGCTGGGATCAGAGGGCACCAGACCCCCAGGGGGAAGTACTCAAGGTCTCTGGGAAACCTGGTAGGAGTTAGGCCCCTAGTTCAGAAAGAAATGACAAGTGATTGGACTTATTAGAACAGAAGACTGTATTCAGTTTAGGTAGAGTTGACACAATCCATGTCACAATCACTAAGGATTACCTGAATGTGGCAGAGCAAAGAAACAATGCTCTCACTGGGGCAACAAACAAATAAAATGCCTACTGTGTGCCAGGTAGGCTCTCACCATCATGTGCCATATCTGTCACAACTGAACTGGTAAGAAGATAATTGTTGGCAGAGCAGCCACATTCAGTTCCTTTCTGCTTGACCCCATCAGCGAGCTTTCAGCTCCAGAGCGGTGAGCAAGAACCCTGTGACAGCAGCAGTCTCTTCTCCAGGAGGAACCAAGCCATCTTTGAACTCTATAGTCCTTTCTGCATCTTGGAACACCTGCTGGTGATGAAAAGCAGGCCCTGGTTTGATGGGTACCAGCTGCTGAGAGAAAAACACCCAAGGTAATCGTGACTGCAAAATTGCTGCTTTAATGAAAAGCAACACCATCTGAGGGGCTAGGTGCACTTCCAGGAAACAAGAGGTCTGCTTTGCTTTTTAAAGCAAACTACACCGATCCCTTTGGCATCACCCCAGCCCTCCTTCATTTCCACATCCACTTAGAATTCTCTCATGCCTGCTAGAAGTTGGGGATCTTAAGCAGTCACAAGTGCCTCACACTGACAAGTTTGAAGGAATCCATTTGCTGGCTGTTGCTTTAGCCTCCCAGGGCTGCTTAAAGAAACATCAGTGTCTTTCCTCCTTGCCCCTCCCATCATCTGTACTTGGAAATTCAGCACAAATCTGTTTCCTTCAACTCTGCCTTTCATTTATAGGGGCTGAAACTAATGTGCTTTTTGGCTCATGCAATGAAAAAAATCCTTTTATTAAAACACACATAAATTTGAATCAAACAAAACTATTTCCCATGTTCCTTTAAAAGAAACCTAAGTAGACAAAGTGCTATCACTAAAGTACATCAAACTGTTAAAGGATGGCAAAAAGTAGGAAGAAAATTATACCAGGAAAATGATAAAGCAAAAATTAAAATCCCGGGTCCAAGGGAAGAGAATTTCAAATAATTTTGGTGGCCTGGTTTAACAAAATATAGAATGTCCAGTTAAATGTGAAGTTCAAATATTACAAAGCATATACACTAATAAATTATTCCTTTTTGAGCTAGGGCTCTGGCTTAATGATAGAGCACTTGCCTAGCACGTGAGAAGTCATGGGTTTAATCCTTAGAACTGAAAAAAAAATAGTCCTTATTGATCTAAAAATCAAATTTATCTGGGTATCCTGCAACCCTGCAAATAATATACTTCTCCAGAAGACAGGGCTTAATCCTCCCAACCCTTTGAAGGTGAGCTGTGTTTAGTGACTCATGGTCAAAAACAGACTAGAAAAAGGAAACAACATAACTTTTCAGGAGAGACCTGGCCAACACTATATTAACCACCTGATGAAGCTTATCATCTTCAGCGATGCCACAGGAATAAAATGACAGAGCTCTCACCTTTGTGGTCCTCTTCTCCAAGGCCCAGAATCCCACTCTAATTATAGAAAAGGCTCAGACATTATAGAGAGTATCTGGACAGTACTCTTAAAGACTGTATAAGTCTTAAAACAGCAAGGACAAGCTGAGAAACTGACACAGAGAATGAGATGTAATGTGGAGCCCCAGAAAGGATCCTGAAATGGGAGTGCCTGAGTCAAAAAACTTATAAAATCCTGTTTAATTAATAGCCAATTACCCAAGGTTCATGTTTGAATTAATGTTTTTATGGAAGTGTAAGATGCTAACAGTGAGGAAAGCTGAATGAAGGGCATATGAGCATAAGTTAGAACTACTGCAAAATAAAAACTGCTTTTATTTTGTGCCCATACTGGGGCCTGAACTCAGGGCCTGGCATAGTCCCTTAGCTCTTCTGCTTGAATCTGGAGCTCTACAACTGGAGCCACTCCTCTTCTTCTGGCTTTCTTGCCAGTTAATTGGAAATAAAAGTTTCATCGGCTTTCCTGCCTGGGCTGGCTTCAAAAAATAATTCTCAGATCTCAGCCTCCTGAATAGCTAGTATTACACATGTGAGCCACCAGTGCCCATCAATAAAAGCTCTTTTTTAAAAAGAAATTCAATACATAAAATATTTTTTTTATTTTTAAACATTCAAGGAATAAAGTACATGATAAGACAGGCAAATATGCTTCTTGTAGACTGTGGGTAGCTGTCTGCCTATACTAATAATTTGATGAATGATGTTTTATAAATATCCAAATGGCCATATGCAGAAAAAAGTTCCCCACCAAGGCATAGTCCCTGGCCCATGACACTACTGGGAGGTAGAGGAACCTTTACAAGGTAGGGCCTCACTACCATGACATGAGCAGAACCTCTGCCATGTGCTCCATCATAACACATTGTGCCACCACAGGCCCAAAGCAATAGAACCAAGCAACAGACAGAAACGTCTGAAGCCACAAGCCCAAATAAACTTCCTTGTAAGTTATTTATCTCAGAGTTTTTGTCAGAGTGACAGAAAAATGACTAACAAGCATACAGGGCCTCCACTGGAATACCCACCAGTGACAGGAGCACACACTGGGCACCACTGCCAAGATCCTCTGGCCCCAGCGCCTCATAGTGATGCCATACCCTACTGGTAAAAGAGGTGGGACATGACCCCAATAGCATACATTCACTTATCCAGAAATTATACAATATACTTATAAACTAAAAACTAGACTATAAATAATGCATATGCACTTATAAACTATAAACTTCTGAGGTGTCTATCCTTAATGACACTATCGTCATTTTTAATGAAATACATATGAATAAGTGGTAATATTATTTTTCATACTCCAATGGCTGGCTTACTAAGTCTCTACCTATCCATTCTGTGTCCTGGATTTCCCTTAAGGAAGAAGCAGGAGGAGATGAGATTTTAAGCAAGAGGACACTAACCCACTCCATGTGCCCAGGCAGAGTTAGGCTTGCAGGGTTAAACAGACCCTATCCATAGACCCTGGCTCACATACCTGCCTACCATCTAATGCTCTCCATTCCTCCCAAGAGCTCTGGATTTAAAGTATGAGCTGAATATGTCCTGCTAAAAGCCCTTTCAGAGATTGCAAAATCATGAAGCTGAAATATTAATTGCTTAATCTGATATATACAACTGCACCAAGAGCCCAACCAAATCAACCACCTCGGCCACAGCCATACAGACCTGCAAGTATATTCAGGGTTATGCCAGGGCAACAGCTTCTACAAAGGCCCCCAATCCTCTTGCCTCCTTGGATCCACACATATATGTAGTTCTGATGCCACTACTCATAGAAGCCTTACAATAAGTGGTCCTTGCTGATATCCTACCTGTCTATGCCCTCATAAGACACCTTGAACCAGAGCTGCCCCTCAAGATGCTCCTGGACTTCTCTTGCTCAGAAATAATATGGGATAATACATATTGTTATTTTTTAGCCACTAAGTTTTTAGTATTTTGTCACTCAGCAACGAATGAGACTTTACTTGCAACTGCAATATCTTAGTACAGCTTGTCCCTTACCTTCTTACCAACACATTTACTTCCTTTCCCTCTTCCTGTTTCTCTTTCTGTGTCTCCTCTTCTCTTCTCCACTTATGTATATGTCTTCATATGCACATGCATGTGCGTGCGCACGCGCATGCGCGCGCACACACACACACGTATTACCTTATCCATGGTTCTATGATCCTTAGTTTCAGTTAGCCATGATCTACCACAGTCCAAAAATATTAAATGGAAAAGTCCACAAACAATTCATAGGTTTTAAATTGTGCATTGTTCTAAAGTAGTGTGATAAAATCTTATGCTACTGGGGACATAATTATCCTTTTGACCAGTACATCCACATTGTACTACATAAAATAAAATATAGAGCATAAACTGTACAGGGTTTAGTGGTATCCCTGGTTTCAAACATTAAATGGGAATCTTAGAACATATTCCCATGGATAATGGGAGGCTATGGTGTGCACACACACGTGCTACTTAAAATGGGCTCAAAATACCTGTTCCTTTCTCCTGGTAACAACTTGTGTGGGCCTTGATTTTTGTACCTTCCATATCAAGCACGTGGCATTAACTTAGTAGATGCTCAAAGATGCTAAATCATTAAATAGACACAGGGAACGATGGATGGAGAAAGGAATGAGAAGACAGAAAAGGGATGACAGAGTGGCAGGCCAAGGGACCGGTACCAGATCTGGACTCCTAGGCTCAAAAGGTCAGGGCATTATCAGCTCTTCTAAGGTTTGTGGGCTTGTAACAGCCTTGGCAAGAGCAAGAGGACAGCTTCCACAAATCTTATATTAAATACAAACATCAGTCTTCAGCAAATCACAAGGAAGGTCAGGCATGGTGGAATATGCCTCCAATCTCAGTCTAGGGAAGTAAAGCTAGAAGGATCAAGTCCAAGGCCAGCCCAGAGAAAAACACAAGACCTTATCTGAAAACAACAAGCTAAAATCTAAAGGACTTGGGGGTAGGGGAGGGGGCAGCCCAAGTGGTAAGAACACCTGCCTAGCAAGCACAAGGCCCTGAATTCAATCCTCAGTAACTAATTACAAAAGAAAAAAAGAAAAAAGTCACAAGGATCCATTTTCCAAGTCTCCCTTTCCACAAGCTTTCTTTTCCTGCACTGCCTTACTAAGGTCATGGGTCCCACATCAAGCTTTCCTATATACAAGATGCTATGAGTAACACCAGGGAGCTGAGCCTGAGCAGTGGGAAAGCAGCAGAACAAGGGGCACTAAATGACAGCTTCCTGTTATCAAAACATACGAGAAGAATCTACCAACTAGAATAGTTGTTCAGCCAAATACTAGGGGCTCACACCTGTCATCCTAGCTGCTCAGGAGACTGAGATCTAAGGATCATGGTTCAAAGCCAGCCCCAGGAAGAAAGTCCACGAGAATCTATTAACCACCAGAAAGCCAGAAATGGTGTTGTGGCTCCACGTGGTAGAACACTAGCCTTGAGCAAAAGGAGCTCTGGGACAGCGTCCAGGCCCTGAGTTCAAGCCCCACAAGTGACCAAAAAAACAAAGAAACAAAAAAGAATACTTGTTCATACTAAAAGGTAGAGGTGGCTGTGAGGTTATTTGCTTCTTCTACAAGTTAAATAGTAACTCACAATAAACACTTTAAGTGGAAAAAGAGTAAAAAGAACAAACACACATAATGAGCTTTGCTCACAGAAGTAATTCTGTACTAAAAGTTTTCTAAAAAAAAACAATTTGATTCACCCATATACCAGTGGCTCACACGTAATCCTAGCTACACAGAAGGCTGAGACCAGAAGGATTTCATTTCAAAGCCAAGTGGAGCGAGTGGAAGTCTTTGAGATTTCATCTCCAGTTAACCTGAAAAAAAAAGCCAGACTAAAATAGCTGAAGTACCA